AGTGACTGCTTTTGTTTTTGTTTTGTTTTTTATTTTGAGGCATCCAGATTAAGAGACCGTGAGAAGCAGCCAGAGAAGAAAACCAGTGGATGTAAGAAGAAGCAAACCAGCCCGCAGCTGAAAGGACATGGAAAACAAAAACATTTCAAAACTTTGCCTTAGATGCTTGCTAGAAATCTGCTTGGGAATTTTCAAGATTGTTGTCAAGTCCCATGTAATTGGCAAACCTCAAACAAAAAGCAAATAGATTTCAGAGTGGCACCTTTAATACTAGTAGTCTTGGTATAATCAAAGGCCAAAAACCTCCCTTGTGGAAACATATTTTTAGAAATTGACTAATTAAGTGATTATGTAGTCATCCAATCAGCCTTAGGCAAGGAAGGCCCACTTCTATATCCTCAGGTGCCACCTCATTCTTTAAACAAGGGCTTGGTAATCAGGATGATAGCAATAGCATTTAAACTTACATATTGCTCCATAGTGCTTTACAGTTTACAGTATCAGCATATTTCCCCCAATCTGGGTCCTCATTTTACTGACTTCAGAAGGATGGAAGGCTGAGTCAACCTTGAGCTGGTGAGAATCAAACTGCTGGCAGCCAGCAGAATTAGCCTGCAATACTGCATTCTAATGCATTCTATGTCTATACATATTGTTACAACAACTTTCAAGTTAGCATGACTTTGAATGAGCCATTATGGCTACAATGCTGCAAAATTACAAAGAGTCTCTAGAAGGCAGCAAAGAAATATAGAATATTCTAAGGTTTTGCAATATTAATCTCTATGTTGATGGAAGCCCATAAGTGTCTGGTAGGTCCTAATGGAGGCCATAATCTTCTAAAACGTGATTTCCTAAACTTTTGGTAACTTTAAGATACATAGACTTCAACTCCCAGAATTCCCCAACCAGCATTACTAAGGAATTCCATGTGTCTTAAAGTTGCTAAGGTTGGGAAATCCTGTTCTAAAACCAATATGTACACCATTGGATCTACTATAATCCTAGAAACACTTTTGCAGTCCTGGAATATAATTATAATTATGCTGGAATATAAAAAGTATTGTTTTGGTGAATGGCTTAAATATTTCAAACAGATTCTCTAAAAATCCATACAGATAGTAACACTCTTATATGAATTGCAGCATTCAAACAAGTAAAAATATTACTAGGTGATCAGTGTACCAAAGCTAGTTACTCTTTTGTCTACATATATAACACCAGTTCTCACAATATTTGGCAATCTTCCAAGATTTGAAAGCCATGTTTTTTTACATTATTGCTTAATCTGAGAAATTTTAGGAATGTACGGAGCTGTTTTAATCAAAATAACTCTTTTTCTGCAGAGTGAAAATGTTCATTATAAGCACATAATGGAGAATAGTATTTTATATATGTGGAGAAGCACTACAGGTTCTTGCAACACACCCTGAATTGTGCAAGGCACCAATGTTCCTTCACCTTATATCCCCTGTAAAAACAAAACTACAGCTGCTACGACTTTCTGTCTGCTAGCTCCCTTTGATGAAAAGGTTTGTGCCCTCACATCTGGCTAGGTCAATGTTTGAATGAATATCAGGTCCCACCTTTTGTCCTGACAACAGATGTATAAACATTTCTCAGATGAATGGGAGGTGAGTGAAAGGCTATAATTCTTCAAAACGCTTCAGGAAGAATTTGTAGCTATGCTTCTGAATTTGATTTATATTGCTTTTTTTGTTTTTCTATGTCTGCAATGCATACCATTGCTGAGACCACATTTTAAATTCAGCTCAAGTATTCCAAATAAAAACCTTGATAGTTTGGATGCAATATACGATTTCCAAGTTCCTTTGGTGAAACTGCCAAAAATTTAACATATATAATTATATGTTAGAATTATAATATCAAATTATATTATCTAAGGGGCTGCCATAAAGAAGAAGGGAGTCAACCTATTTTCCAAAGCGCCTGAAGGTAGGACAAGAAGCAATGGATGAAAACTAATCAAGGAAAGAAGCAACCTAGAACTAAGGAGAAATTTCCTGACAGTTGGAACGACTTGCCTTCAAAAGTTTTGGGTACTCCAAAACTGGAGGTTTTTAAGAAGAGACTGGACAACCATTTGTCTAGAGTGGTATAGGATTTCCTGCCTGAGTAGGGAGTTGGACTAGAAGATCTCCGAGCTTCCTTCCAACTCTGTTATTCTGTTATATTACAGGCCCGTCGTAAACAATACCGGTAGTCCTCAACTTACAACCATTTATTTAGCCACTGTTCATGTTACAATAAAAAGTATAACTTATGACTGGTCCTAAGTTGCAGCATCCCCATGTCATGTGATCATCATTCCCAGCTGGCTTCTGACAGGCAAAGTCAAGGGGCGGTAGCTGGATTGGCTTAATGACCACATCATTCATTTAACAACTACAGTGATTCACTCAATAATAGCAAAACAGATCATATAATTGGGCACAACTCATTTAACTGCCTTGCTTAGCAAGGGGAATCCTCATCCCAATTGTGGTCATAAGTCAAGGATTACTTGTATCCGCTATATCAGGGGTCCCCAACCCCCGGTCCGTGGACCAGTACTGGGCTGCGGCATGCCAGCAACTGGTCCGCACAAACAAGCAAAGCCCCATCCGTGGGGTGCAGGCAGCACACAAAACCACGCCCTCTCCGGTCCACGGAAAAACCTCTCTCCACGTAACCAGTCCCTGATGCCCAAAAGGTTGGGGACCTCTGCGCTATACCATGCACACTCATGCCTTGGTGTTTTTTTTTCTCTCCTATACCATCTCTATCCAGAGCTATCGGAAGATGAGGGGACAAAATCTCCTAGCATCCAGATCTAGGACAATGAAGACTTTTCAAGCATAGAGAGAAGAAAGTAGAATTAGGATCAAGCAATGACCTTATTATCGTGAACCATTTCATGCAGTGTGAACAATAAATGACTGTCTGGAAAAAACACGGATATGAACTTGTTCTGCGTGACTAGTTTAACTTCTGCACATTGTGCTAAGGCTGTATCATGGTTTGTTCACTTCTGACCTGTAGGATGTGAAAAGTACCTACATTTCACTCCCCGGTTGCTTCATTCTAAAACGTCCATTAAGCAGAAGTTTCTACACAGTCTGTTGGATTTGTTGGAGACTTTAGCACAAGGCAACTGATTTTGTAAAATGCTCTTTTAAAGCCGAGGGGCTGTATTGCTTCTGGAAGCAGCTTTTAAGAGGCCCTTCCCTTAGAGATCAAAGAGAAGCAATCTTCTGAAATGTTTTAAAACCCTAACGGCTTACCAGGTCATGCGAGTCATTGTGATTTGAAATCATGGTTTAGCATGTGTAGCTGTGATTTATTCATCAAGCCACGATAAGCAACTCCCACACTTTGGCAGTATTTGAACCACAAAGACAAGGCTGGTAGATAATGGCAGCAGCAGCAGCAATTCAAATTAGCACACCGTTCATTCTTAGGCTGAATAATGGTGGTAGGTTTGGGGCAGAATGGAGAAAATAGATAAAATCATGAGTAATCGGTTTTCATGCAATTATAAAACAAATGGATCCCAAATCAGAAAAAGGAACAGAGAGGCGAAAAACACTGTAATAGCTCATATTCTTCTAGGCATCCTAACAGTATACTATCGGGAGGCTTGGACCGTCTTCCCCACATTTTGCAAAACACCTCCTTTTTAGTCCTTTCCTTTCTCTGCTCCCTACTGGGATCCTGTTAAGTTAGAACAGTGGTGGCGAACCTATGGCACGGGTGCCAGAGGCGGCACTCAGAGCCCTAGGCCTTCAGCTGGATTTTATAAAACCTTTTCGCTTTAGGCCTCCGCCGCCATGTGCAAAAAAAAAAAAAAAGATTCAATCAGTCAATTTCAACTTCTCGCGGGAAAAAAAAAAGATCTTGCAAAGTTGGAATTGATTGATTGAACTTTTTATTCTCACCCAGTCTGCCGTTATCACAGCAGCCATGCCCACCCAATGGGCCACGCCCAGCCAATTGGCCACACCCAGCCAATGGCCCACACCCACCCGGCACTCGACGATGCATAAGTGGGTTTGGGGTTGCAGTTTGGGCACTCAGTCTCTAAAAGGTTCGCCATCACTGAGTTAGAACTATTAATCAATGGGACCACCTGCCTCCAGAAGCGGTGAATGCTCCAACACTGGAAGTTTTTAAGAAGACATGGACAACCATTTGTCTGAAATGGTATAGCGTTTCCTGCCTGAGCAGGGGGTTGGACTAGATGATCTCCAAGATCCCTTCCAACTGTAATAATAATAATAATAATAATAATAATAATAATAATAATAATAATAATAATAATAATAATAATAATAATAATAATAATAATAATAATAATAATAATAATAATAATAATAATTTCGCTACAGGCGCGGGAGAAATAATAATACACACCTGGGATTCCCCTTAGCGGCCCCAAACAGATTTCCCCACCAATACCCCCAACGCGCAAGCGCGCTCCTGAGAGTCCACCGGCTCGTCAGGTGCGGGCGCGCGCCTGTGGTGCTTTTTTTTCGCACCTGTTCCTGCGCCCCCGGCGCGCGCGCCTCCCGCGGCCGCTCTCCTCTCTCTCTCTCTCTCTCTCTCTCTCTCTCGGGGCGAGGCGAGGCGCGGCGAGGCGAGGCGAGGCAGGGGGCGGCGCACCCCGCTTACCTGAGCGAGTCACGTGGGCGCTTCCTGGCCAAGGGGGTGGGCTTTTGCTTGTCAGAGGTGTCGGGGAGGGACGTCGAGGGAGGGGTGGGTGTGTGTGTGTGTGTGCGCGCGCGCTGGCTCCTTCCTCTTCTCCCGGAGTGTCCAAACTGGACCCGTCTCCGCTCGCTTCGCCTCTTCTCGCCTCCTGGGTTCTCCCGGCGGAGAAGGAAAACGTCTTCCGCGAGGAGACGAGAGGGAAAAGAAAGGAGGAGGAGGAGGAGGAGGAGAGGAAACTTGGAAAACTTGTTCGTCAACTCCGACGGCTGTGCAGCCGCTTGTGGCCGGGGAGAGAGAGAGAGCGAGGGAGCGCACGAGCGCGCGCGCGAGAGAGAGCATGAAAGCCAACTGAGCGACGGCCGCAGAAGGGGGGTTCCGCTTGGAGGCGCCGGGAGGGTAAGCGTAGGGACGGCGAGGGGTGGGGGGGAAGGAGGGATGCCGCGGATCCGGGAGGGAACCCCTGGAAAGCTTTCTCGGGCTTTGTTCTCACCTGACAGTCCGCTACCCGGCAGCCGCGCTCCGTTTCTCCAGATGGACCTGTCGACAGAGTGGACTACAAGTCCCATCTTCCCCGCTGCCCTCAGTGTGACTAGAGGCTATTAGGGAAGCCTTTGGCAGGCGCCAGGTTGGCGAGGGAGCTGGACAGCAAGAGGGGTGTCAGATGCGGACTTGAGGGGGTTGCTGAGTGTCTCCCCCCCCTACTCCCTTCTCCCCAGATCTTTGGTATGGATAATGTTTTTCTCATGTGTTTGCGCTTGTTGGCATGGATTTGTGCAGGCAAAATTGTGCTGGCCATTGAACTTGTGCTAGACAACTTGTAGTTTGGCCTTGAACTAGTAACTTTGTGCGAAGTGCAGATAAGTGTGCATGTGCGAGAGGAATAAACCAAATTACATTCTGGCTCTGATTTACTCACCCTCCCTTTTAATATTTAATCTAGTGATCAACTTGTTTTCTCCAAACTGTGCCACTGGTAAATATCAAATACACACACACACACACACACACACACCATCTATAATTTCTCAGATGAATCTTCTCCGTCTTCAGGCTTGAAGATTCCTCTGGCTGCTGTTTCCTTATTCCTGTCATTACGTGGATTGACAGCTCATAGGCTGAGCTAGTCCCGCTAGTGCCTGATGCAAATGGATTCTTGATAACGAAGAATATATCTGTGCTTCTGAATAAGATCCATATTGGTATTTGCTAAAGGACACTTGAGAACCACCCCAGTTAAAGATGAGGCAGAAACTGTTATTGCAGTTAGGAAACTGTCCTTTGTCCTTTTAAAAACAAAAGGCAGAAAAAGAAAAAAAAATTGTCAAATAGTTGAAGGCATAAATAATTTTGGGACAGAATATCTTGGAAGGATTTTGACTTGTCACATCAGTTGATCTGTGCTTGAATGTGTGTCCAGTAAAACAATCTATATAGTCAAGTATCTTGTGTTTCTCCAATGCTGAAAGAAATTGGGAATGAGCAAAAATGTTTTCCCTTCTTTCTAATCCACCAGTTCAACAAAGATCTGAGTTTCTTGAGGAACTCATCTAAAATCATAATTTTCATGTCCTTCATTTCTTTTTAGTGAGCAAAACTTTATTTTTATTATCTCAACTTATATGGTCACTCATCTTAAATTCATTACATTGGGAGGCTAACACAGTTTTAAACAGCATAAAAATCCATAAGACAATAAAAACTACAATACACATATAATCTACTGCCAAGGTAAAAAGCAGAAGCACCTTTAAGAAATCAAATATAATCATTCACCTGGATCTCCAGGTCCAGTTGGAAAATTAACTCGTTAAAGGCCTTGCAAAAGGCTGAAGGGGTTGGGAACAATCCAGCCTCTGCCGGTTTGGGGGATTTATTTAGCATATGGCATATCATGCATAAACTAACATATACTAACATTTCACCTAGATTAATAAAACACAATAAAACATAAATGTTAAAAAGATGTATGTTCAAATGCCATTGTCTAGGCCAGGGGTAGGCAACCTTGGCTCTTTTATGACTCGTGGACTTCAACTCCCAGAATTCCTGAGCCAGCTATGGTATGCTGGCTCAGGAATTCTGGGAGTTGAAGTCCACGAGTCATAAAAGAGCCAAGGTTGCCTACCCCTGGTCTAGGCCATCTAACCACTGAAGCACAAAAACTAGTTGGTATAATTTATGGCTACAGTGGACTGTGGGGATCCCAGTCAGATGAATATAATAGTAGGATTTAGTTAACAGTGGATTAGCATATTGGGCAATTTACATGCTTGCTTTTCATTTTGGGGAGAAATCCCCTGCAGTCGGTATAGCAAGAGTTGGTTCTCTCCAACAACTATCTGACTCTTTGCCTACTCAAATCTTCATTTTGAATGAAGACGTTACTTGGATGAGTAACGAAACATCTCAGTTTTAATAAACTTTGGTCCGGTTGCCATGATTTAACCCTTTTAAGATATTGAAGTGCAGCATTGTTTATATTAAAAAAAATCAGATATTGGACCAGTATATGCCTTCAGCTTACAATTGGTCACAATGGGATCTACAGTTTGACACCACAGTCATACCGAGGGAAGGATTCTTTGCCCCATTTATTCAGAGTCCTGGCAGAGGCTGTGTGATGTGCAAATCCTATTGAGGATTGTCTATTGCTGATGTGGTTATTTTCTGTGGGTCATTTATGTCTTCCTATGTTTGGGCTTTCAGTGAGGATTTTGGCTTTCCATTGGGAATGTTAAAGTTGTTGGGCAGATGTTGAGCAAGTGATTTTGGGGATATTCCAAGGAGATTTATTATTATTCAGTTGAATTAAGAGCACAGATACATTTTTGCCCATTGCTTTTGCATTTTTCACATTTAGATTGCGTCCACAGGACACAGTAGAGTTGCTTAGTTTGAGGTTCACTCATTATACTATTTGAAACTAGTTGATGTGGCTAGTTTATGGCTCACTGGGCTGTGGGGATCCAGTCAGATGAATGTAAAAGTAGGATTTATCTAACAGTGGGTTAGCATATTTGGCAAACAAATCTTTGCTTTTAATAGTTTGTATTAAAAGAGTTCATGTATATAATATGAAATACATTGAAAGAAAAAATATAGCAAATGTGGAAAAGAAAAAAGGAAGAGACAAAGAAAAAAGAAAAGAAAAGAAAAGATGAAAAAAGATATAAACAATTGGCTTTCGGTCTTTCTCTTGGCAGTTACACATATGATTCCAGAAAGAAATAGTTGGTTATTAGTATGACAAATTTGAATTTTATGATTTTTCAAGATATTTATTTATCTGCTGCACATCTCATTTTGAAGTGACTTTAAAGTTAAGACATGGAACAAAATTAAGATGGGAGAAATTAAAATTGTCACTGTTGGGGAAAATTTCTGTGATAAAATGGTGCTTTTGTTTCAGACAATACCTTTTTTGACAATTGAACCATTCAAGCAAGGGCAAACACAATCTTAATAACGCAGGACACTTAGAAATTGCAAGGATGCACAACGCCCTGATCCTGGGACCCAATGTAAAGTATTCTCTCATCTTCCACCATCACCCCCATCCTTTCGTTTAATGAATTCATGCATAGACTGAGGTTTTTGTTATTGCTGGTTTTATTAACTTAGCTTTTTCTATTTTTATTATGTTCAGTGTACTTAAAAAAACTTTGTGAGTAGAAGTCATCAAAGAATAGCATTAGAAACTTTCTGAGTAGCATATCTTTAAAAATCATTTTTACCTTATTGCTGTATTCTAAAAAGTAAAATCCACATTCAAAACCATTTAGCTATAATATTAAATGTTATTCAAATTCAGTTGTTTTGCAATTGCCATGTACAACATTTGCACAATCGATAGACTTGAATGAGCCTTAGGTTTTCAGAAGTACTCCCTCCCATGGTGGCAATTTCATGGGGAAAACAAAAACATAGAATCATTAAGGCTGGAAGGGACCTCAGAGATCTTCTAGTCCAACCCCCTGGTCAAGGCATGAGCCTTATACCATCCCAGTCAAATGGATGTCCAGTCTACTTTTGAAAACCTCCATTGACCCATAACTCCAGGAGGCAATTGATTAATTGTTCTCATGTCAGAAAATTTCTTCTTCCTTCTAGGTTTGATTTCTCTTTAATCAACTTCCCCCACCCTCAGGTGCTGTGGAGAATAAGTAAATCCTTTGTGACAGCCCCTCAAGCATTGGAAGACCGTTATCATGTCTCCGTAATCCTTTTCTTTAATAAGCTAGCTAGACATACCTAGCTCCTTCAACCATTCATCATATAATTTAGCCTCTAGATCCTTTGCTGGCTAATTAAATTTTGCAAGGTGAGGAAGATTGGGTGGAGTTGCTGAAACCTTGAACAGGAGCTCTTGACACTGCAAATTTTTTGCTGCAGGGCTATTCTTGAATGTGGGGTGTGTGTATTCTTACTTTGCATTCACCCACGTTGTACAGTTATTTGTGAATAGGCACAATTAAACAGAGTGATTACCTTCATTCCAAAACATCATATGATTTGTTCCGTTTGCATACATTTAGCTATCATGTGTGGCTTTGTATTGTAAGAACAAAGCCAAAGATGCCTTATTCAATAAACAGAGGTTTCTTCATGGATGAATAATGGGAATTTAAGCTTTTATTACAGAATTAAAATAGCTGTTCAGGAAGATTGGTGTAGAAATCCTTTCTTGGTGTATGTTGCTTAGCTCAAGAGATCTCTGTTGGTGATTCACCGGAGCAGGAATTTCAGCAAGTTCCAACCAAACCCGAAAAGTGAGGTTGGTCTGGAGATACCACTGTTTAATTCAGAATTCAGCGTGACCTTCTTCAAATATGTACATTATTTACCCAGAGTTTCAGAGTTTTCCATGTTAGACATGGCAAGTAAATATAATTGTTTTCAGACGTGAAGGGAAGTTATTTTCCATTAAACAACAATTAGAAGTTGTCTGTGTTGGTGAAATTGTGACTTTTACCTCTGTCCCTGACTATTACTATTGGTCCCTTGGCATTAAAACAATGCAAATTTATTTTATTTTTTGTCTAGGAAAAAGTACATAGTAAACTTGTTGGGGCTGGCACAGTTCATGTTTTGTTTCCGTAAGTAAGTACAGCTTGTAGCAGTGGTTTTTTTTTTAAAGCATCCAGGCTAATTAACTTTAATTAAAGACTATATTGGATAACAAATTAGATCAAAGTTTAACCACATCATGTCAAATTTTAGCACGCTAGAGTTGAACTGAATTGAGGAACATTTTCTAAAATTATGGGATGCTTTAGAGCACGGGTGTCAAACTTGCCGCATCACGTGACGTGTCGCGACGTATCGTGACTTTTTTCACATTGTCGGAACTGGTGTAGGTGCGGCCTCCGCATGATGCAACCGGGCTGCGGGCTGGC